AAACCTGGTGCAATTCAATATTTTAAACAATCTTTTTAGGTAATGCTCAGTCTTTTCTGGATAATAAATCAACCTCTAATTTTAGTCTATTCCTACTCCCTCTGTCCTCTTCTAAAAGATGGTGGCAGGATATATGTTGGGTGAAAGTCTTACGTGACTTATGATGGCACAGTGAAAAATTCTTTGGACTGCACTGTGCCCTCCAGATCATTGCTGGTCTCAGAATAGAATGATCAGGAATTCAGTAAGGAGTGACTGGTCTGGCCCATTCTGCAGGCATCAGCTGCTATCTGCAGTCTCCGATTTCTTTACCTTTGTATCCTTCAGCTCCCCCCTCCCCCCACCCCACCCTCCCACTCCCCCACCCCCCCACCCCCGCCCCGTGAACTGGTCTTCCCTTTCCTCTCTCTAACCATAACCATCTCTGAGACTGCCTCATGCCCTGTATATGCTGACAAGGCCCAGGGAATCCCTACCTGTTTCTGTTGTGTGACTAAAGGATGCTCCTTGCCCTAATGTCTAGCTTTCAACAAAATGTCCACGCTGAATGGGAAACAAAGGAAGATGGGAAGTGCAACTTGACCTTCTCTGTCTGGACATGCCCTTCTACCTTACTCATGATGCTGGGTCTCCATGTCAATGGGATGAGGCTGGGTGGGGAGTCCCCAGCTCAATGATCAACTTGCCATCCTCCCAAATTGGGAGAGGTGGGCAGTTTTCCACCTTTAGTCTAACTGAAGCTTACACAGAAGGTTTTTCAGGACCTAGATATCCAACATCTTCACCCTCCAACCTCTATCTATCAAGGTCTCTTCTTCCTACACTTCCTTAGGGCTTCGAAGAAATGGGCTTCTACTACTCCCTCTTTTTAATTAGATTATCCTTATATAGAATTATAGGTTCTAGTCATTCAAACCTGGCATTTAGCATACTAACAAGAAGCTAAAGGATTCTAGATAACCACGCCTTCCTCCAAACCTGGCTTTCAAGTCTACTGATTTACTAAAAAGGTCAAGTACCTGCTTTTTTTTTTTTTTTTTTTTTTTTTTTTTTTTTTTTTTTTTTTTTTTTCTTACTCTCTGGAGCTAGAAGGCATATTGGGGACAGGGAGAGAAAAACTGGTAAAGAAATGTAAGATGGAAAGTATTTAAAAATATTAGTACTACTATATCAACAGATTACTATACAATTACAAATTACAAGTTCTAAAAAAAGTACTAAAGAAAACAAATGTGAGATCTAATTGAGATGGAACATTTTTAGTAAGTTGCTGTCAGAAGGACACTCTGAAAAGGTGACATTTAAGCCAAAGAACTTCGTAGGAAAATAAGATGCTAGTCACGGGAATAGGGTGGGGATGGGAGTCAGGGAACACATTAGAAGAGGGAAAAACATGTGTAAATTCCTAAATTAGGAAAGAACGTGGCTCATTTTAGAATCTGAAAGAAAGCCAGCTTGGCCGAAGAGCAGTCATTGGAGGGGGAGAGTGTTAAGAGAGGAGATCGGAAGAGGAAGGAGAAATCATGCAGGTCTCACAGGCCAGACTAGGAGTTGGATTTTATGGCACTACAATGGGAAGCTGTTGAAGGTTTTTAAGAAGGCATGATCTTAAATTCTTAAAGAAGTTACTCCAGCTGATATATGTGGAGAGTGAATTGTAGAGGGGAAAGTTAGAAGCAAAGAAGTTATTAAAGAAGACAAAGTGAGAGATCATGAAGGTATGGACTAAGGTAATGGCAATGGTAGTAGAGTAAGGATATCTCCAATCACTAGATGACAATGACCAAGAAATCATTACAGGTACTGTACTCAAAGTAGCTAGTGTCTATGTTGGAAATTATAATGGAATCTCCATTCCCTTATACTATGGTGCAAAGTCCACTTCTGTCTCATTTCTTGACAAGCACTTCAGGTCAGAGTTAGTACTCAAAATCAGAGTATTATGGGGAAATCGAATATTGGTCGATTTTCCAGTATTCATCTGACAACTTCACATATATTACAAGGAATTTACATTCTGGATACAGAATGTGAAACTTGACTCTATTTCTTAAAAATGAGAGGGGCGCCTGGGTGGCGCAGTCGGTTGAGCGTCCGACTTCAGCCAGGTCACGATCTCGCGGTCCGTGAGTTCGAGCCCCGCGTCAGGCTCTGGGCTGATGGCTCAGAGCCTGGAGCCTGTTTCCGATTCTGTGTCTCCCTCTCTCTCTGCCCCTCCCCCGTTCATGCTCTGTCTCTCTCTGTCCCAAAAATAAATAAACGTTGAAAAAAAAATTAAAAAAAAAAATGAGAATCACAGCCGAGAACCTACCTTTTACATATTTCTTTATAACCTCTCATTTAAAAATAGGGATGATACAAAGATTTGAATGAAGGATGATTGGACTCTGACATAAAATAGGACAACTTATATGGAATCATGAAATTTAAACCAATATTTAAAGTAGAATCTTGAGAGGAGAAAGTCTAATTCACCACAGGAATCATATCCCTTCTGAAAATAAAGTTGTGATTCAAAGTTATTGCCAAAATGTAAGTAGAATCTTTCAAGACTTGCCATATTTTAATTATGGAGTTTTTTTACTTATTTATTTATAAGGTGTCTCATTTCTACAAAGGACTCAAGGTACTTAATGAAGATTATTTAGGAGAGAAAAGACAAAACAAGAAATGGGGCGCCTTGGTAACTTAGTTAATTAAGCGTCTGACTCTTGGTTTCAGCTCAGATCATGATCTCACGGTTGCCGAGTTCAAGCCCCACACCAGATTCTGCTTGGGATTCTCTCTCCCTCTCTCTCTCTGCCCCTTGCCTTCTCTCTCCCTCTCTCTCTCTCTCTCAAAATAAATAAATAAACTTTTTTAAAAAGTGAGACAGAACAAGGAAAGGGAGAAGGAGGGAGAGTGGAAGGAAGAAAGCCATCCCTTCGGTTGCCAGACCTAGCTAGTCTGTTTCTCATCCACTCACACTACCCTCCAAAACTTCAGCCTCTTGTTTAATCCATGTAAAGTATTTAAACAGACTTTCCTCTTGTCTTTCTTCTATGGATGCTTTCATTTACATTGAACCCAATCATTATTCTAAACTTTCTGATGGCAAAAATATATGACCTGATAGTATATCAAATCTTCCTCTCCCACCATCCAGGAATGAACATGGAATTGCTCTAGATTAAGAAAAGAGGAGCTTTATAAAGCAACAGCTATTTAAAAGTAAAGCGTACAACCTGTGCTCTGAAACAGCATTAAGCTGGCAATGGAATGAAAAGGCTTTTATGAATTTAACAGCTTCTAAAAAATGGAATACTTGGGGTGCCAGGGTGGCTCAGTTGGTTGAGCATCCCACTCTTGAGTTCAGCTCAGGTCATGATCTCGAGGTTTATGGGTTTGAGCCTCACATCAGGCTCTGCACTGTCAGTGCAGAGCCTGCTTGGGATTCTCTCTCTCTCTCCTTCTCTCTCTGCCCCTCCCCTGCTTACACTCACTCACTCTCAAAATAAACAAATAAAAACTTTTTTAAAAACTGGATCTCTAATATCTTTCAGATAAATTAATAACAACAACTATACGTTTGGCATCTGGTCTTCCCTCACAAATATGCACTTGTCACAATTCAATATCATGTATTCGATACCTGTACTAAGTTTTAGTTACAAATCTTCGAGAATGTTACTTAAAATAAATTTACAGGTCATTCACTTTGTAAAAATTTCCCTACCCTGGTTTTTCTAGCTAGGTAAAATACTCACTCATACTTGAAATATCTCACTTGGCTAAATGTTCAAGTTCAAATTCCTCCATTCACTATGCCAACCCTTTACTCTTCCTCGCCTCATGGGTTTTTAAAATAGCATGAGACTCATTAGCCATGTGCATTATTGGTCTCTGTGAGTATTAAAGTCCTTGAATTCATAAAGCAACCAAAATTCAACAGATGAAAATTTCATATCTTCTTTCAGTATTAAGGGGATGAATTCCATAGGAATTGAAACAAAGCACATAAAATACAGATTTGTAAGTATTCTCTTACTCACTATGCCCAATCCCAGAGAGACCCAGCTAGCATCTAAATGTACATATCTTTTAAGAGGTAAAAATAAGATGGTGAACCTTCATGTTCTCCCATTGTTGCCTCCTACATATGAGAGACCCTCCAGTAATTCCAGTTGCCCCTCTGATACATCCATCACAGAACCCCAAAGAGCTCGCACTTGAAGTAGGTTGCCCTTTGATCCCGTTTCTTCTCAAGAGTGGTGTGGCTGTTGTGCAAACTGAAAGTTGAAGAGAGTACTGAGGACTGGGCTTTCCACCATACATCCCAGGCTACGGAAAGAAGGGCAGGAATGCTCTGAACTCCTGCATTCCATTAATAGCTGAGCACAACGTGGCCCTGTAGGGACTCACCTGACCCAGAGTGCATCCAGGTGCTGAGCATTTAGGCAGTGAATGGAAGGTGCAGCATGGCTCAGTGAAGACTTTCAACCCTCTAAGCTGGGCCTGTGATCTCAGAGAACTGCTTCAAATAAAAATCAGTTCCCTCTGTACTCTAAGGAGAGTAGTTAATCTTTATCATGACAACTTAAGGCCACGGCCAGATTGAATGGCATGGCTGAGAGATCCATTTCCTAGCACAGCTTGTTTTCCTGGTTGGCAACAGATCCTTAACCCTTCCCAGGGCTCTGAGAGCATGTAACACTCGGGGGGTGGCTGGGAGCATTGTTGACTTTTTAATCACAGATGTTCAAATGAACTTCAAAACCAACAATGGAAAATTTTGGCTTTAAGGAAACTATATTTTTATAAAGTTACAGCAATAATGTGTTCAACCAATGAATTAGTCAAGATAAAGTTATGTAGAATATTAAGTTATATATTTATATAAGCTATATAAATATATGCTTTATAAACATATAATATCAGTGTTGTGTAGAGTATATGTTTCTGCCTATAAACAGGAATGTTCTTCTAAGCAATTTTCTAGGATCTCTTCCTCCTCCTTCTAGTTGCGTTTTGGGATCCATTTGGGCAAAGTCCAACATACCTACGTTTTTCTGCTCCACAACCACCATGTAATCATCCACCTCCATCCTCCCCATAATAAAGGTAGGTATGATTTGCGTCAATCAAAATGTAGAATTCTGTGATTGAATCCTAAACTGTCTATCCAATAAAATTGCGTCATTGTGATGAGGTACCCTCTAGGGGGGAAAGAGGCCAGATAAAATTCTAATGGGATAATGCAAATTTTATGCAATTGAAATTCTGGGGAAAATTTCTGAGCGTTTGGCAGATATGTAAGAGCTGCACAGCAGTGGTCAGTTTGCTACTTAATAAAAATGTATTTCATGCTTAGGTATGCTGGGGATTTCCTCAAGCCCTAGGTCAAAGGCTTTCCATTTTTGTATAATTTCTTACTTCTAATTTTGAGAATTTTTTCTGTCTCCCCCAAAAGGATCACAAATCATTTTTAAGCACTGTCGCCAAACTTGGTCAGGTATGTGTACGTCTGATCTCCCTGTAAATGTCCCAGTAAAAGCTAAATCAGAAAGAAGCAGTGACTCAAATCTTCTTATTCCGACTGGAAGATTTAAATAATACAAAACCATTCACCAGTAGAACATCCAACCAAGGTTCTTAATCATCTTTTGGCTCCAGTCTGAATAATCCTCTAAAATAACACAGCATAGTCAAGGCAATACAACCACGGTGTGTATCCGCATACTGCTAATTCCTTTTGCACTTCTCTGTACCACACAGTTTAGCACTTTATTACGTGTTGGCTTGTTATCCAACTGTTCCATGTGTGTTTCTTCTCCTTCAAAATACATTCTGAGACGCTGAAGCCCTGGGGCCATTAGTTAGACACCCATGTATTCCAGACAATGCATGGCATGGTACTGTGCACATAACAGAAGAGTTTATACTTGTTCAGTACTTGTTCCTTTCCAAACATGTCTTGGAAAAAGTTTCAAAACTTGTTTATTTCTGCTGACGTTCTTCACAAGAAGGTAGATTACTACTCAGCAAAATAACTGAGCTTATTTTTCTTTTGTAATTAGATCAAAATCACCTACTCTCCTGAGAATCATGAATTATTAGACTTCAAGAGGAGCCAGGATCAGTTTGATAGAGTCACTAATACTTAGTCACTTTGAGCTAAGTTCATAAATAGATCGCAACCTGTATAACTTTTAGTAGTACTATATCCCAATATCAGCTGCACCAACAAAGGCAATCCAACTTTTAAACAATATATTCCTCTTTGATGGAATCTCTTAATATGCAAATAAAGATATTAGCCAAATTAGATCTTCCAAAGACAAATGAGTATGTGTGTGTATATACATACACACACAAGCCTTTTATTTATTTATTAGGATTCATCTCTCAAAAGTATAAATATATTCTATGCTTCTAAATTTTGTTTCTGAAATGAAATATCATGGATATATATAAAAGAGACATCATGTATTTAGTAAATTAAATGTTACAATCAACTTACATTTGATGTAGACAACACAAATATCCAAATTCCAGTTTTTATTTTAAAATACCATGCCAATGAGGCATAAGATTGCATAGGCACATGTGGTTTTGTTGTTGTTTTTAGGTGTTAATATTAGCATAAGTAACTTACAAATCATCAGGACAATTTCTCGGTGGCTGCAGTCTCCCTCCTGTTTGCACATAGTTGAAAACATCAAGGTTGGAATGAGCTGGATAAGGCTGATGACCAAGAGTTAAAATCTCCCAAATCAGAATTCCAAAAGACCTAAGGATGTTAAAGAGTTGACTTTAATTCTACTTACTACAAGCATCATGTTTACAGTAGTTTCTCCAATGTAACTATTCCTGGGGCTATCCGGGTCTACTTTGTGATTGGCATTATTGGCCCCATAAAAGGCAAATGGGAGACTTAAAAGCAAGTTGACCTCAAGAAAAAGTAGAAAAAGCAACTGCCTACTAGCAATACTTCAAAGGTGATAGGTGATAGGAAGGCTTAGTGGGGACACACACGTGCACACACACACACACACACACACACATTTTTTCCTTCTCCCCAGCTGAAACTGCACCACAGACCTCCACTAAAGGTTTGCATAGCATCAATATGCAGACTCACATGGGGATAAGCAAGAAAGCAGTTCACCCCTTTCTCCCTGACTTTGAATGCTGGTAAACGTGGAGGGGAAAGGCATGAATGTGAACTGGCCACACTGGGGACCAATTTTATCTCATCACCAATTTTGTCTATGGCCAGTTCAGCTTGAAAGTCATTAAACAAATCTTTACATTTTGAGTAGCTCTAATCAAGATTTGGGATCAAAAAGCAAAAATGAGGGATCCTATTCTAATACCAGAGAGATGTCCAAACCTCCTCAATGTCATAATGTTTTTGAGATGCATGATTTAAAATCTACCTATAAATTAACGATCATAAATGCCAAAAGAGTAGGCATTTGGACATATACTTGGACATCAATTCATATGTACCAATTTGTATTAGTCATAGCCTCTATGCTTTGGGACTGTGATAAAATACTTGAAGTAAATGTATATATTTCACATATACGTGTAAGACAACGGATCAAAACTAATTAGGGTGAGAAGGGAAAATGTTGAGAACCAGGAATAGTCTCACCAGGTTAGATGACCTTTTAAATTCCCTTCTGGCCCTGACATTGGGTGGTTCTGCCCAAATTTCTCCGTGTCCTGTTAAACTCACCATACGTCAGACTGAGTAGTGAAGATTCCATCCATCAAACTTTCTGGAGCCATCCACCGAACGGGGAGTAGGCCTTCCCCTCTCTTTCTATAATAATCATTTTTATAGATGTCCCTTGCAAGTCCAAAGTCCCCAATCTTCACTACCCGTGATGGACTGGTATAGTCTTTCACAGAGACAAGGCAATTCCGAGCTGCCAGATCCCTATGGCAGAAGCTATATTTAATAATGCTAAGAATAAAGTTCCAGAGATCAGACAAGTAACCCAAGTCGGTCTTTAGAGAAGGGAGACTTTTTACGGAAACGTTTGCTATTTTGAAGTAATGAAAATGTTTAATTATCCTACATGTTTTACCCAAACTGCAGGTAATTGTTGTGCCGATGTCCGTAGGAACCTTGTATCTAGAATATCACTGTACCTGTGAATGAAGTGCATCTGTTCCAAGTAGACACAACCTTTTGAAATATCCACACACAGATCTACAAGGTCAACCAAGGTGAGTAAAGGACCATGAAACTGTAAGAAATGAAAGAAAAGTTACAGGTGCTTTAACAGTTTGTACAAAACATATACATATACATATGTACACACACATATGTGATGTCTCAAAGGTATTTTTAGTTATGGTTACAAGAATTCAAATAAGGAGTAAAAGAACTAGGTTTACATACTTTCTACTGAAATAAACATAAATAAGACTATTTTTACTAAGCAGAAGCAATATCGGATCTTTATTGGAAAGATCTCAGGGTGTCAGGTCATACAGACCAAGATTTGAAACCTAGTTCTGGTACTTACTAGTTGTGTGAACTTGTTTACATTGTTAAATTCATTAAGTAACTTTCTCATTTGTAAAATGGGAATAACACTGACCATATAGGATTTGAGATAAGATATGTAATCTGGCTGGTATATAACAACTTAATAAATAGTAGCTGCTGTCTTAAGTAGTAATAATGCTAATTTAATCAGTACTAGCTAGTTTAGTCATTGGCCCAATGTCACACTGTAATGTCAGTCATGACAATGGGCTTGTTTCTCAGGTGAACCCCCATCTGTTAGCAATTGTTAACAATACTCTAGTTCAAGGTCACAGATCACTCCTCTCCTCCATGACAGCCAGTATGAATATATAGTTGAGCCTATACTGCTTGCAATGATTTCAACATGAAAAAAAGCCAGTTGAAGTTTTTATTGGCACCACATGGAAAAAATTCAATATTCCTTCCTCAAGGTTACATTCATATATTGTCTTTCCCTTGCCATTTCCCTAAAATAACCCTAGTTCAGGCCTTTATCGTTTCTATCTGACACATCCCAAACTTGTGTCCAGCCTCTTGTGCTTTAATCAGCCCTCTTCGTTGTGACCTACTGCCTGTGGAGTCTATTACAGGTTCCAAAGCACAGCCTCCATGGCAGCCCTGGGCTGCACCAGTCTCTTTTTGCCTCCACTTATGACCCTAGTGTCTCTTCTCACAATCTGTGCTTCAGTCATGCCGGGACACTGGCAGTCCTTTATCCCTGCTCTACATTTCTCAACCTCTCTTCTTTTTTTTTTTTTTTT